GTGTGTGTACACGTGCGTGCATGCATGCTACGTACATACGTGCGTGCATGCGAGAGCATGTGTACAAGCAAACGTAAGTAAGTAAGCCCAAGTCAATAATTTCGCAGCGCCGGCTAAAGCAGTACACCAATCATCCTTCCTAAGACTAACGTGCTTCTGCTATCGTTAATAGCCCCTTGTCCTGTCCAACCAAAGACCCATTCAGCTTCACAATTACTTTTCCATCCTGCCTGACCGTTCAAACGTTATCACCGCAGTCCCCAGAGAGACATTGTGGAGCGTGGCAGCTCGATAGAATAAGTAGAAGCTCACGACGGACGCTGTCACGCTGTACTGTCAGTCGCACACTGCGCTTATAATATGTGAGGCCATCGTGGTCAAATCAGGCGCTCGTCAAAATAATGAAATCCAATATATTGGCATTTTACCGACCGTCTAGCAATTTTGATCGATTTTTTTTTTTGGCTCAACACCTTTTACCGCCATTTAAAAACACATTTCTGAGTTGACTTTTCTCTGAAAAACGTTGATTAAAGGCACAAAAAAGTAAATTTCCAGTTTCCAAGGACTCTCAAGCTTTGGAAGCCACCAATCTTTAGCAGCCATTTTCAAACTAATTTTACCTTTGAAACCAGACGACCCCCACCATCTTCAATCGCATACATATCGACTTCTATTCAAGATAGCTGGGTTCTTTTTTTACAGAAATATAGACAAAAGAATAAACTTTAAGATGGTACGTATGACTTCACAACGCGTAGAATTGAAGAGCGCCTGGTTCCACCGCGATTGTATGAGCCGATTGGGAAGCGAGTATCCGTTGGCAGGAAGACGAGCGGAAGACCATCATAAAACGTAAGCAGCCTACAGGATGTACGGGTTCATAATATGTGTGTAGAATACAAGATCGAGTGTGTTTGCGTGTGAATGTACTTAAGTATGTAGGAGTGTGTGTGTGTGTGTGTGTGTGTGTTCGAGTGTGTGTGTGCGTGTGCGTGTGTGTGTGTGTGTGCGTGTGTGTGTGTATGTATGTATGTGTGTGTGAGTGTGCGTGTGTGTGTGTACGTGTGAGTGTATGTATGCGTGAGTGTGTCTGCGTGTCTTTATGAATGTGTCTATGTGTGTATGTGTCTTCGAGTCTTTGTGAATGTCCCTGTGCGTGTATGTGTCCGTGAGTGTATGAGTGTGTGTGTGAGTGTGTACGTGTGTGTGTCTGTATGTGTTCGTGTACGTGTGTGTGTATGATTGTGTAGGTGTGTGTGTGAGTGTAGGTGCGTGTGTGTGAGTGTAGGTGCGTGTGTGTGAGTGTAGGTGCGTGTGTGTGAGTGTGTGTGTGTGTGTGTGCGCACGTACATACGTATGTAAATGTGAGTATAGATAGATAGACTCCCCCACCCCCAGGCTCACCTCATCGCTCTGGGACCTGTCCTGCCCACATAGTTGTGATCGTTGTCTATCATGACGTGCTGAACGCCTTTGCATGCGTGTGCGCGCGCGTGCGTGTGCGCGCGCGTGCGTGCGTGTGTGTGTGTGTGTGTGTGTGTGTGTCGCTGTCTTTCCTGTGAGTGTGTTTGTGG